TCTGCTTCTTAAGTTTCCAACCTCTTGGGCTCACGAACACCCCTGCTGTTCAGTGTTGGTCATATGTCTTATAGCACGTCCAGCACACTGCTATTTCAGTTACTGGGCTCTAACTAAAATCACGCTATAGACCTAGAATGCATGTTCATTCATTTCCTTCACGTTCTGATCTCAGATGCATAATACTTGAACCATCGTTAATTTTCGTGATAACGGCTAATTTTCTTCAGAACAAAAAAGTTGAGAAAAATATCTAACCAAAAAAATCACGTGAAACGTTGCTTCGGTGTCACAAGCCGAGAAACGGGTAATTACTCGGTAAGTTGCGAACAACACAGTATTTCGGTGTGGTCGTGCCAGAATATACAGTAATGCTGTCCGATGCAAGCGCCTTTGTGGCTGCATTTCGTCTTTACTGACCTGATGGCTGACTATGAGTGTAATAGAGTAATAATGTAATAATCAGCAAAAAGTGCAAACCCAGGTTATGATTTTTTGTTTCTAATTGCATTATGCAAGTAATAAAAGCAGTCACTTATGGTTTTGGTTTTTTCGCAAATCAAAGATGAACCTCCATTATGAAGGCCAGTAGAAGTCAGTTATCTGCAAAAATCCTAACTTTCACCCACCTTAATCACTTCTCGCAAACGCTCAAGAACGGTCTGTAATAATCAAGGCTTTCTAGAGCGAATCGCGGTTGTATAAATTATCCAACGTTGATCCGGATGATCACTCGGCATGGTTTTAACATAGACGGTAAGCACCAGTGTTTTAGGGAAAGATAAAGAAAATAACATTTTCCTTTTACTACCGGATTTACAAGGCGTACAGCCACCGACCCACTGCCTTTAGCGGCTAAAAGACCATTCAAGAAGGCCATAGCTCCATGATAATTGAGCACCTGCGGTGCATGGATTAAAAATCGCATCACAGGGCAGGGTCGAACAAAATCCTGTTCGTACACCTGCCAATATGCCATTATTCGTTTGCATATTTATACATAAAAATAAACACCGATG